GTCTATTAAAAACATTGAAATATTTCATGATTTTTAGCTTTATCTTAATATAATTAATATAGTACACATTATGATACAATTGTATTTCATTATTTTTTTAATTAGTTAAAATAAATTAATAATAATGGGATTGAAGAAATATTTGGAAGTACACTAAAATTAATTAAATTAAAAAATAAATTATATAACTTTTCTAGTTTTAATACTTGATCATAATCTGCATATATTATTATTACATGTCTCTGCACTAAATAGTTAAAATTTCAATTATATTCTTATGTCTGGAAATTAGGTAAGTTCTGAGCATCGTTTCAAACGCTGATGAATATTTAACAAAAAAAAAAGCTGCTCTCTCTCATCTTAAACTGTAATGGTTTTCGTTCTGCAGCGTTTATTTTTTGTGTACATTTATGTGTGTACATGCAATTTTAATTCAAGAGATGTCGGACAACGGTCATTAAAACTTGTAATCAGTAGAGGGCAGTAGAGGACGTCCGCACATGTTGGTCGGCATTAAAATGCAATTTCAACGGCGCAATTTTGTCGTCATCAATTTAACTTTTCCAACTATCGCACGACCGACGTCATTATTACTATTATTAATAATCATCATCATCATCATAATTTCAACGCAGAGCTCAACTTACATTTACTATATGTATAAACGAGAGAGTAATATGTGAATTTTATACAATTAAAATTCACCAGACACGATGGAAAGAAACGACGAAGAAAAAAAAGTTATACACGAAAGTAATTAATTTTTCTCTTCCCTCTTCGGAAGGGAAACGTAATATAAAAGGGAAGAGAAATGTGTAACATGCTTAACAGACGGCTGTGTCTCTGCATATATATTATTTATGTTTTATTTTTTCTTTCTTGCTGTATGTTTTTCATTCTTGTTCTGTTTAATTAATGTAAATAAACTTGGGCCATGTTTTAATTACATTTTTTTTGGTCTATCTCCGTTTCTTTCGCTCCTTCCTCGCGTGTTTAATTTATTGAACTTTCGGGAATCCCTCTCCTTCCATCAGGAGGGAGATGTATACTAATTGCTCACGTTTTCCACCTCGTATTCGTTTTTGCCCCGGACTCGTAGTCCCGCAGTTAATGGAATAATTCACCAATTAAATCAACTTTGTCGTCTCGCAGAACTATCTTCAACGTTGAATACTAATTTTACATCTGTGACAAATTCTTCAACAACTAAATTAAGAATTTAAATATAACAACAAAAAAAATGTAGCAGATTAATTGATTTTATATAGGAAGTAGTCATTGAAGTTGATTTTATATAATCAATATTTGTATGAACTAATAAATTCTAAAGTATATAAGAAAACACCAAAGGTCTGCAGCCTTTTTGACGCAAAGTAAATTTTTAAGATATTTCGTGTTAACTATAGTCTCCTAATGCTAATATCACTACTTTTACTATTGAAATATATTCAATATATATTCAACAAATCTTGGAACCGCATAAATTTGAATTTGAACAAATTTTAAATACATAATTTCTTCAAATTTTCAAATTGTGTATATTTATATGATTTATAACTAAGTTATATTATTATATCTAATGTTAACCAAAGGATTATCAAACAAAATTTTTGCTAAAATGCTAAAAATATTAAATTTCTAATGTAAAATTTTCAATTTTTAAATTACTGGAATGTTCCTAATTATATGATATTTTCTTGAAACGTTCTTCAAATCTTCTAATTCTTCAAATAATTACATAAAAAATGGAATAACTTACAATAATTCAGTATTTGTATCTTAATTATTATTTGTTTTTAAGCTAATTTCCTTTAGCTTTAGTCTGTTTCTTATTGAGTTGGAAATAATAAGATTATGAATAGAGAAAAAAATAGTTTTAATCAGTTGTATGTAATCATTACGTATTATCATTGAAAATAATTATGATTTCAATGTAATTCGTTTATTTAATGAAATGTTGTCCAACAAAGTTTGAAACAGAAATTATGTTTGATAATTGATTAATACCTTAAAGTTTTTAAAATCAATTAACTTGTAGAAATTAGTACATTTCCATAATGAAACTTCAAAAAAAATACTTTAAAAAAATGAGTGAATATTTTGTTTGTAGTTTTTAACGAAATTTAAATAAAACTTAAAACATCATTGAAGAAATGTTACAATAATTTAATTACGTTTTAAAGAATAAAGAAAACATCTACATAGGAACAAATTGTTTTTATTTTAAAGAATGTAGTTTAAATTGCATATAGAATAAAGTTCCAATTAGGAATTAGTTGGAATAACGTGTTGGAACATGGATTTTCTTGTACTTTTTTTGGTTGTAGTATCAGTGAAATGGTAGTCAAGTAAAATGAACATTTATTTTTCATCTAATCCCAGACATGTACTACATACTTGTCTCAATGTATGCAAAGTTAGTTCCTGACTGGAGGCAACTTCCTAAGTGCCTCTCTCTCTTTCTCTTCTCTCCTCCATGTCTCTCTCTCTCTTGCACACACACCGAGTAGAACGTGAGACTATCTTTTGTGGGGCCTCAGGGGCAGGTCCATAATTACCAAAGTCATTATTAATTTCTATGTAACGTTTCGTACCAGGACCGGTGGAATCAGCGGAAAGTGCACGCCGGAAACATCGTCTCTTTTCTTTACCCCTGCGCACTGGATGCTTCGTAGGTAGTTTAAGGCTTAAATCATGGAATGACACACGTTTTGGTATGAGGAAGAGCTCATTAGTAGACGCTCTCACGCTCAATCTTGTTACGTTGGCAATTATTAAACACAGAACTTACCCTTCCTCGTCTCGGATACCAACGGCAGCAGCCACCACCGCTTACACCTCTCCGCTTCCCTCTGATTACAAGGCAAACTTGCAGACTTTAAAGGTCAATAATAATGAGTAGGTCGAGCCGAGTCTTAAGATTTTAATGTCTCGTATCCGGAGCGGACATTAGAACAAAGCCCTCATTGTGTTTCGGATGGGGAGGCGTGAGGCCCTTTTTCCATAATACATGTTATACAACTTGCGGGGGAGAGGGCGAGATGAAGGGTGTATCGCAGCAAAACTCCCCCCGACAATCGCTACAATAGCTCGACAACGTATACCGAAACCATTCACACGGACTAAGTGCCCCGAAACTCGAAACATAATCCATTAATATCGGTATCAAATCGGCAGGAAATTACACGAGTTACTTCGGTGTAGTGTGTCAAAGATTGATACCGTTTGTTCTCTCCACTTCTCCAAGGATCCAATTTAATTCCACTATTTTATTAATCAATTAGATTACGAACTTATTGTATTACTTTAATAATTTTGTAATGCTTTTACTAATGAATTTAGTTTTCAGTTTCCTTCATTTATTTATTAACGAGTTGTTAGTTTTTAGCATTTATTTTTGTGCAAATTTACTTGAAACATGAAATATTAGTTATTATTAATACCTCTCATAGTGAGGCTTCAGTCAATACGGAACCACTATAGTTCACTATAGAAAGTTTCAGAAAATTTTGATTTTGATTTGATGTTTCATTGTTATTAAAAAAAATTCAATGAAATATAAAGATTTGTTGATGCATGTAAATTCCACAATTCTATTGACTCTATGACAAAGTATATTCACAAGTAGTAGAAATACATAAAACTGAGTTACCGTTTCTCATTCGAAATGTAATGCAAATACGTTCGTATTTTTATAGCTTTTGATGATGTAAAGGCTAAAACAAATCACAATTACCAATATTCTCGAGAAGAATCTATTGACATATTTATGCGACTTTTATATCGGAATCAAAACCGTGCTGCATATAAATCCTTGTTGTTTCAACTCTCGACTTATTTTTCTTTCTTTCGAGTCTCCTTTTCGATCCAGCTTAGTTCTTTTCACGATTAAATCGATTTTCACTTCTACCTCGTACATAGAACGAATCTGACGTCAAACGAAATAAATAAATGGAATGTACGTTGTAAATTTTACGCTCTATGCACAGATGCGATAATACAAAGTCGTTCCAGTTTTCGTCCATAAAATCTTACAAATGAGCGTGTCTCCGCAGGCTCTGCAACATCCTTAACTGTTTCGCATCTGAAGTTACGCGTCTCTCGGTCTGAATCCTAATCCAGTTATAATTCCTTCACCAGACCCAAATTTATTGCTCCATATCAAAACACGCTGTTGAATATTTCATATGTCTCTTTACTATCCAAATTTTGTTGCTTTTAATCCGTGGTTTACATACTTTGTCTTTCAAAATGTAATAACATAAATCTACAACGCAAAAATTTCCTATTTACAATTGATTACTTGCATAAGTATGTATGTTCTTGGTTCTAATCTATAATAATAATAACTTTGAAAGCATTTTTGTTAAGATAATATTGTTGTTGAGGTTTACAATTTCCAATTACTTCCGAATGTAATTCTTTCCAAACAATGTAAATTGCATAATATTTTTACTTGCAATTCATTTTGTATGAAAAATCCTCTGTGCACGTTCATAAAGAGAGAGAAAAAAGCGCTTTTGTCGTTGAGAAAGCACGTCTCGGTAGTAAGTGAAATCACAAAGCACTGCGCCAATTCCTGCAGCAGCATGTCTTTTCTTCCGTGCGGATGAAATATTCCGAAGCGGTTCCACTCGAATGAAATTAAAATTATGTTTACAATGCAGCAACTATCCGCGCAAATGCAGCGCAGGTGGATGGCTTCACCTTTAATTTAATTCAATTTACCTCCCGCATCTTTGTGCAAAGCAACAACAAAAAAAAGTAAATAAAGAGCAAAACGAATATTAATCAAACTTCTGTTTTTTTTTTCTTCTTTTTCTTCCATTTACTTTCCTCTCTTTAAGCAATTATAATTTTGCTCGCATCAAAGCAATGTAAGAGGAACATCGAAAGTTCAAGGATCGAGTAATGAAGTACACGTAATTCCGAATAGATAATAGGATGAAGTGTGAATTGCGGTGCTCGAAACTCAAGTGTGATTTCTTTTGCAGATGCGGACGAGCGGAATCAATTAGGGATGGGAATGGGAATCGTCTTCAGAGGGAATTGATGCCCTTGACCCGGTGACGGCTCAGGAATTATTCCATTATTTATTTTACTTTGCGCCGTTCAGATTTTCGATTGAAGATGAGGTCCGTGTTCGTCCATCTTCTCTACCATTTGCTGTTGACCAGAATTATTTATGGTAAGTCATTTATTTTGATTCCTCTGCAGTTTTTCTTTTATAATCCAAATTTGTAAGCCCTTACCAAATGCGCGCAGGACAAAGGCACGCCGACAAAAACGCTCATTAAGAAAAGCGCGCAGTAATACTTTAAATAGTTTTAAAATACAAACCCTGACCAGCTGTTAGAAACCTAAGAGCGAATATGGAAATACCAATTTCACCAAATTATTTGTATGCATTTTTAAATTATATCCAAAACCCAAATTATCCAAAACTAATGCACTAGAGTGAATGTGGTACGTACATTTGACATGGTTGTTTTACTGCGCGCTTTTGTTACTTCGCGTTTTTGTCGACGCGCTTTTGTGCTGAGCGCTTTGGTCAGGTATAAATAAATAAAATCTACTGCTTTTTTCCCGTCTCCTTTGTTCGTTCGTTTCCTTTAGTTAAGCCCTTTTCATAATGGTTTGGTTTAAACGCAAAGACATCTTGCATTGCGGAAACGGCGAAAAGAAGCGTTGCACAAATCGTGCATTCAGACGCGCCAGACTTAATTAAGAAACTTCGTCGAGCAAATGTTTTACTTCTTTATTAACTTCAATAATTTATTCACTTTAAAGGGCATTTCTTACCGCTCATTTTTTTTTTGAAACAAAATACGTGTTTCACTTCATTTAAATGTTACGCTCATTTTGTAACGAAGCTTTATTAATTAAAGTAACTTTGACCGTATTTCTCAGATTCATTAATTATATAAGTCAAACAGAATTTTAACTCGATCATTCATTAAAAACTTACATAATTATTTCAATTACCTGGCAAATCCTAATAATCAACCAATTATATCCAAAATACTCATAAATTACATAATTTATTGAGGACCGAAATTTCAATAGTAATAATCAAACATTTATATTCAATAAACAACATACACACTTTCTTTAGTGACTAATTGAAATTGCTATAAAAATCTTATAAAAATTGAAAAAAACTTGCGAAAACATATTATTTTTATAAAAAAACATTACACAAAAATTAAGTAATTATTTCATTTCACTTTATCAGGTTTTACTTACATCTGAAGCGAATTTATCATAATTTAATTTTTGTATTTTCAATCGCAGTTTTGGTACATGAGAAACCAAATTTATTCCACTTTGTAATTCAAATATTGATGGTTTTTCAAGAATGTATTTGCTATAAATGGGTCATTTTGACCCGATATAGTCGGTACAATCAAATAAGTACATCTCAGAGCAACTGATGAAAAGTGCACTAAAAAATACTGATATATCTAGAAGGTCAATTCAAAATGAAACATCGGTTGGGTCAATCTGACCTATGCGTTGTATATTGACGATAGGAGGCGATGTTTTAATATTCGAATAACAGAATAACGGCATTGCATCTAATCAATGTAATCATCGCTCGATGATTTTAATCCACCATTTCTGGTATTTTCAATCGCAGTTTTGGTACATGGGAAACCAAAGTTATTCCGCTTTATAATTCAAATATTGATGGTTTTTCAAGAATGTATTTGCTACAGATGGGTCATTTTGACCCGAAATCGTCTGTACAATAAAATAAGTACATCTCACTGCAACCGCTGAAAAGTGCACTAAAAATACTGATATATCTAGAAGGTCAATTCAAAATCAAACATCAGGTGGGTCAATCTGACCCATGCTTTGTATATTGACGATAGGAGGCGATGTTTTAATAATCGAATAACAGAACAACGGACTTGCATCTAATCAATGTATTCATCGCTCGATGATTTTAATCCATCATTTCTGGTATTCGCAAATGCAATTGTTTGCCACAAACAAAACAGCGCAGCACAGCACGGCACATTCGATTTACCTATGCGCAAGATAATTACGTATTTGTGTGTGTATCTCTGCGTTTCTCTCTATCTCTCCCAAGTATGTCTATATATATATAGATATATACGTCTATGTTTACTCGATGCGTTGCATTAACATATTATTAGCTCACGTAACCCAGTTACGCAAGCAATTAATTTCAATAAGATACTAATTTGCAGTGCACTTGATTAATGGTGTATTATTGAAATTAGCATGAGTTACATTTAATTCCGTGCGTCGTGCGGATTTGCGAACGTTCTGAGGCCCCTTTGTAAAACAGACATTGATGGCGCACCGGAAACGCTCGTCAATATTTAGCGACTCAATTAAACACGTTAATCCTGCCTTCTGTTTGTCATTTGCAACTTAATTGAATATACGCGAAATGCCCAAGGTTCAAAGCTAATCGAAAACTAACAAGATTTCAATTTTAGTTATTTACTTAAGAAAATTGATCACTCTAATTTCATGCAAAAGAATGAAGACTTTCTTTAAACGGAGTACAATATAAATATAATTTCAATATCCTAGTTGAAAATACCTCGAATAATGCGGACTATTTAAAACCGAACTCATCGTAAATTTAAGAACATTGTAAATTTTAAAAATGTTCTATAGTAAATCCGCACTGATTGAAACAAATAAATATAATTATTTTTATAAATGAAGAAAATCATAAGAATATAATTAACAGTGTAATAATTATACTATGAAAAAAAACTAATATATGTCCTTATTTTCAATCCCGATTCAATTTACCAAATACAAACAGAATCAACGAACAATTTCTTATTGAAAAAGCAATTTGAACTTAAAAACAATAAACTTAGCAACTTAATGAATAAAGATGTTAGAGACGTAGCAAATAAGACGTAATTAGAATAGGTGGGAGAGGATTTTTTTCTTCTTCTATTAAATTTATTGCAACTACTCTGAGGCTTTGCATAATCGAATTTGTGCGGTTTGGATTGGATCCAAATCTTTTAACGTCGCCAATGAATTTAAATATAAACCTCGGTCTTTTTTTCTTTCTTTTTTTCGTTGCTGGAGAGGAAGAAGGGATGAGAAAGAATCGTGCGGATTAAAAACCCAGACCAGGTTCACTTTGTTTCATCTGCGTGTAATCCTCCGCAGACAAGTTTTTCCCTTAATAGGAGAAGTTGAATTACGCGCCAACGTTTGTATTGATTCGCTTAACGAAAACTGGATGAAAAGCGCAAGAAAAAAAGAAATTGAAGTTTCTTTTAGACACACTTTTTTTTTTCTCTCCTAGTCTTAAATTGACGACGACGGCATTTTTCATATGGGTTTTAGCTGAAAATCTGAGGAAAGGAACGACCTTTTTTTCTTTCTCTTTCTGCGCTAGTCCTCGGGGTTCTGGATGAAAAATACGTATGGAAAATTAAAGAATCTTATCGTCGCGCAAATATTTGGACTATCTATCACACAATGCGCTCGGCCTTCCGAAGAGATAGAGATGTATGTGCAAGAAGTGGAGGAGAAATGTAATAAAAGCGAAGTTTTTTTTTTTACGATGATTTATGCGAGAAGGACGAGACAAATTCTGGTATGGAGACGGGAAAGCAAGTAACAGAATATGGAGAGATCAAATTTGTGTGAGTATAAGAGTGAGAGAAAGATATGGTGATAAAAATGAAAGTTGGAATCTAATATATTATTAACATTTCAATCCTGCAATATTTATTGTAGAATTTCTTACTACAGATTAAATTTACAGAGAATTTGTAAAGAAATTCGTGTTAGAAATTCCACGAAAAGTAGTATAAATCAAATTATTCTGAAATAAAACTATCAATAACCAAATTAATCATTATTACTTATAATTTGTTAAGAAACCAATGTGAAATCTAATATATTATTAATATTGCTATGAAATCAATACTAGATGAGATTTCTTAGTATAAATTAACTTTACAGCGATTTTGTAACGAAATTCGTTGTGTAAAATTTCATTAATATCATGAGATAAATTGCATGAAAAGTAGTATAAATCATTCATTCCAAAAATTATCAATATCGAATTGTGTAATGTATAATTTGCACTTTTTATTTTTATTTTTTTTGGAAAAAACTAATGAAATTTGTATACCTTTTGCAATGATGAATGTATTAAAAACGGGATTGCTTACATGCAGCACTTTTTCCTCGCTTAATTGCAACTGAAAATGTATATCAGCGAGCGGCATAAATCACGAAGTAGCCTCATCAACTCGCCCGTACAAAAATTTAATAACGCAAAATGCAATATGTTTTCATTACTTGATTATTATTTTTTTCCCCTACCGTACGTACAAATATAATTCCTTTAATTTGCGAGCGAGTGTTTGCCCTTGTTTCCCTTTATTTTAACATTATTTTCTTCCTTTTCAACCGGGCTAATTGAAATAGAGGACTATTTGCAATTACTCTCAAAATAAACAGTCTCATCAAAGCATTTTATAATTACCAAGACATGATTATTGTTTTCTTTCCTTTTTTTAAATTGTTGGTTTTTTTTTCGTCACGAATGTTGCAAGTGGAATAACAGAATGAAAAGATAGAGATGAACAAAGGGGAAACGTGTTTTAATATTGCGCTCGTCGTGCTGTGAATAATTGCTTTTAATATAAATTCGTTCTCTCGATTCGAATATTCGTTTCGCGCGCTGAGTCGTAAACAAGGAGGAAAACCGAGGATTCGTTATGCTTGTGGAAGAAACCGACCTTTGATCATTTTAACCTTCCCACTTTTTTTTGATACTGCTGTAATTGTAATACGGTTTGTTGTAAATAGAAGAAAAAAGAAACATCAGAGAAACATAAATTTAAATTAATTTCCTTCCACTTCTCTCTTAGTTGCAATCAATTTAATATTTTCAAACAACAATGTTGAAACTCATTTATAAATTTATAATTTAATCATCAACAATTCTAGAATCACCTATTTCTATCAATACTTCAAGATTTTGTTTACTACAATGAAAAAAATGATTCTACTTATTTTATAATCACAATAATATTAATTACAATTTCAACAAGGTTGAAGTATTAAGAACATATTTGTTTCTGATTCTATAAATTAATTTCAGAAACTTAATGGAATTTCTATTACAAATTAAATTAATCAAATTTCCAATACGAATTTCTT